GCGGGGAGTCTGCTTCTCCCTCTGACCCTCCTGCCTCTCATGCTCTCTGTCTCTCATTCTCTCTCTCTCAAATAAATAAATAAAATCTTTAAAAAAAAAAAATAAAGGGTGACATGTAATATGTGCTAGATGAGTGTCAGTAAATGGTTAACTCAGGAGGACTTGCTTGCTCAAACTGTGTACATCTCAAAAGTCTTTGGGACTGGTCCTTGACTGGTTCCTGGGAAATGAACTCTGAGCCCTTGGAGTATCCTGCTTGATAAAAGTGGCTTTGTATGCCCAAGATCTTGAGACATGTTTGACCTCTGGGGGCTGGAGATTGACTGGTTAAGGTCAGTTACATGGGCACTGCATGCCTGTGTGATTGACCCCCAATAAAACTTTGGATCCCAAAGTTTTGGTATCCCTGATTGGCAACACTTTATACACATTATCACACATTGGTGCTGAATTGAGCTCTGTTTGTGCTGGGTTTAGCACAAGGACTTGGGCAAATGCAATGCAAGCTTCCTTGCATTCCATGAAGACCATTCTTACAGGGCATGCAGACAAGTGATCAGCCTCATGGGGTTGGGCTTCAGATCCCAAAGCCTGTCTGCCAAGACTAGTGGGTTCCTGCCTGGAAAATAAATAGTACCTTTCCCATAGATTGTAATTCTTAGGATAGGAGGTGGAGCCTCTGTCTACAGGTCTCATAAGTGAGAAGGATTGCAAGCAAGTTCATGGAACAAGTGGAGCCCGCTCCTGTTGCTTACAGATGGACTTATCTTGAGTCCCTGTGTTTCCCCACAGATGCAGGTTCTTCTCTTAGGTCTTCGGAAGACCCTTTTTGTCCTTAGCTTTTAAGGGCTTCTAGCCTCAATGTCAGAAGAACTTTTGCGGAACACTCAGTGCATATGGGTGGTACGTTTTAACCACTCTTGACGGTGAGTTAGCATGAAAATAGAATTTATTCAACCAGGTTTTCTCAATCTCTAGGATTCTTGCTTTTGGAACCCAAGCCACTGGTCTGTGGACAATCCAGGCAGGCTCACTGGGAGTCATGTGCAGGTATTTTGGCCCTGGCCCCCATGGAGATCCCACTGACTTGAAAATACGAATTAAGATTAGAGACTTGATCAGATTCTGGTTTATTGTTATTATTCCTTGTCTTAGTAAGGTCACATCATAGATGGTGGTGGTATGTTTCATCAAGAAGCATATGATACTAGCTGTTTTTCTGTGATGTTAGTAGTTATTGATGATCATTGCCTAGCTTCATTAATTCATTAGTATTGCAGAATAGTGATATTCTAAGTCTAACATTATTTATTTATTTTTTTAGCTAGAATACTTTTACAAATAGGAATTTCCTCTCACCGTGATTTGATGAATCTGAGCTGCATTTTATAGAGGAAAGGCAGAATTAATGCTTGATTCTGTCCCGCCATTTACCAGTTTTTAAATCAATGAGTTATTATACTAGCATTCTCTAAAGGTGATTGATGAGATATTTTGTTTATTTTTTTAAGATTTTTTTATTTATTTTTTGACAGAGAGAGACACAG